TGGATCAGGGTGTTTTTATTTTTTTTCATTAGAAAAATAAGGGTAATAAAAATAAACCAGGTCTGATATAAATGTCTTTAAAAGCCACTAAAGCTTTTTAAACTAAACCCAAGAAGACCATCATGATTTCCAAGTTCAGGCTCCTATTCATACTGGTTGTGGTATGATGAATGCAACCAGGCTCTTCAAGAAACAGTAAATCGTCATGACCAAACCTCTTGTTATTTGCACTTACACCCCACTGGAGGAAGCTCTGCATCCTTTTTTTCCCATCCTATATTGGCGTGAGGATGGGTATTAATGACACACACATGCACATACAGACTTTCTGGTTCTTCAAAAAGTTAAAAATGCCTGTAATGAAAACAATAGAAATAATACTGTGTTTCAGATTGTTCAAGAAAAGGGAATTGGAGCTTTAATGTCCCACTGAGAGATGTTGAATAAAATCTTCCCCCTGAGTTTGCACACAGTAAAAAAATACTGGTTTTTATGACCAAACAAGTTAAGTCTGTATGAGAACAGCTCAGGAGGCTTTCATGGCTCACAGTGATGATGGCAGAGTGCAGAATGTTAGTGTTAGTTCCTCAAATTAATGCCCTGATGTAGCCAAATTTTTTTGCAAAGAGACATAATAGTTTCCTGTCCTTGTTTCCGAGTTCCCAAGTCATCCTGTAATTCATAACCTGCATTAGTGCAGACCAATCTGACATGGGTAAGTAACATATCCGGCTCCTGTGCTCCTAGCCACATGTCCCCAATGTAAACGGAAGTCAGGAATACAGAAACAGCTGTGGAAGAAAGATGAGAGAAAAATCAGAACAGATATTCTTCTATTTCCACACAGCAATACCAAGCCAAGCTGTTTACCTCCAGGACTATGTTTTAAAATAGTTCCCCAGCTCTTTACCTAGATGGAAAATCTGGAGTGCCTTTGCCCATACAAACAAATGATCCTACTCACAAGAAAGAACAAACCAGTTTCCTGTTAAATCTGAAAATCAGTTGGAAATCTGACCTGCCAGATGCTATCCTTGACCAGCAATAGGGGTCAGCAGCCAGGCCCATGTGGACTTGTTTTTTGCAGACTATTCTCCCTCTTGGAATTGTATTTTTTTATACCTTTTGTTCCATTTTAGCCCTTGAAAGGGACGTTTCTTAGAGGGAGTGTGAGTGTTGTAGTGTCAGAAAACCTCAGTGTGACCATGATCTGTGCTGCCCACCCCTGCCCACATCCCACCAAAGACACAGCTTCTGTTTTGGGAAGCCATGAGCCTGGGCGGATATGGAAAAACTAGTTAAATGGATTCAAAAAGTCCTGGAATTTCCTAGTTCCTCCCACTACTGCCTTGTAACACGAGTGACAAGAACGAGACAAGCCACCTGTCTTGTCCGCATCCTCTTCCATCGTTGCTGACAGGCACAGGGATTTCACAAGCTTGTGGAAGGTGCTGGACAGGCCCTGTTCCTCCATGAGCTGGAGCATGATGGAGCTGAGCACCCCGAGCTCCCTGGAGAGCCCAGCTGAGGTGCTGCTAGCCTGGCAGAGCCTGCTGTAAAGCTTGAAGAGGTTGTTCCTTGCTGTCTCATCCCTGAGCATCTCCTGCGTGGCTGCCAGGTGCGGTAGGACACGGTTCCGCAGCCACCTCAACGCTGGTGACACATCCTGCTCCCTGAGGAGGCTCTGCCCAGCCAGGGACCTCAGCAGCCACTTCGTGACAACATGAGTGGATGCACAGGTGACAGCCACCGCCTCAGCCTCAGGTTCACTGGGTCTGAGGGTCTCCCCTCCTTGTGTGGAGGGTGGTGCTGGGAAAACAGGATCCCAATGGGCAAGTATGGAATTCAGATGTTCTCTGCATTTCTCCAGCTCAGACACTTCCACATCTGCAGCATTGTCATCTTCCACCTCGTTCTTTTTCAGAGTGTGACGATACACATGAGATGAGGTTTGAGGTTTGTTCTTGTCTCTAATATTTTCTGTAAGAAGAAAACCACCACCAAGACAAAGGTCAGATACCCCAAAGGATTCTCCTGTTACAAAACCGTGCAAGTAAGGTGCTCTCCTGCCTTGATTCAGTTGTTAGAATTGCAAGCACCAGCCTCCTTTGGCAGCCTCCCAGAGCCTGCCCTGTTCCAAGGGGCTCCTGGAGCTCCCAGGCACTCCAGGCTGGAACCCTATTCCAAACTGGATCACCCAGCCTGGAGATGAGAGAAGCTCCTGGAGCCTGGAGCACACAACCCACACAAGACAGTAAGTTCCAAAAACTCTCCTCATGTCTTTCTGAGGAGTTTGAAAGGGTGAGAAAAACACTAGCAAAGTTCCCCAAGTCCTGATCTTACTTTTCCTTTCTTCAAAACTGATGACAAGAAAAATCAACTATTTAATTTTCACTTGCTTTATTTATTTTTTTTACTTATACATTGCTTCAGACCCCCATCCACACTCAGAATGATTCAAACCTTTGAGCACAAGCCTCCAGCACTTTTTCTTTTAAGGTTTCATTAAAGAATACAATTTTTCAAAACCTGATATGAGCTTTGCAACTAAGTTTCATTTTAAAGCTCTTTCCCTTTTTAAACTGTGTTTCTCCAAAGCTTCCAAACTGTTAATGTTAGAAAGGTTAGAAATCACTTTAGGATTAGGAAAGGAAGATCTGAAAAACACCTTTCCATTTCCTTTCCTCCTCCCTGAAGCTGTACCAGTCTGACAGAAGGCATTAGTACTGTCTCCAGAGAAGTTTGCCTCACTTGTAACTGTTGGTCTGTAACAGTTGCCACAAAAGATGCTTTCCTTGAAGTATTTTAGCACTTACTGAGCAATTCTTTGTTTTGGTACTTCTGAGCCAGGGCCTGCAGATCCTCCTGCAGCTGCAGGTCTTTGCTGACAAGGCTCCACTTGTGCAGCAGCAGCAGCAGCTCCCTGCTGGACAGGATGCTGTCGTTGACTGTGAAACGCCCCATCTCCCTAAAAGCCTCAACAACAATAGCACGGTATTCCAGCACGGAGCTGAGGGTGCTGAAGAACTCAGTCAGCTTGGCCAGATCAACATTAGTCCTGTCAAAAGAAAACACAAGTGCCATGTATTTTCCTGCACACTAATTAATAAGTGCAGATTTTAATCCTTACTGTCAGAACGGCCAGGAATTAAGGACTTGACAGCAACAGTACATCAAATTTTACTTTATTCCCCATGTATTCAAACACCTAAATACTCCTGTCAAAGAAATCTCATCCAAATTCACTACACAACACACAAACTGAAGGTGAAAAAAGGCATTCATCTGCCAGAGATAAAGAAATCCTCCTGGCCTTAATAAAGTTCAAACTGGACAGAGGATGAAATGCAAACCCACTAAAGCAAAAAATTAAACAAAGGACTTACCTAATATGTTTGATTAACGTGACCAAAACATACAGAAATTCATTTACAAACTGAATAGGAAGAAGTTTCCTGTTCTCCTGGGACTGATTCTTGTTTTCTCTCTTGTCTCCTAAATTTGTTAGCCACAGAGTATGGAGTAAAGAAATAATTCTATTTATCACCTTGCTTTCCAGAAACCTGATAAACAAAACAAAATAAACAAACAAAACAAAAATTAAACCAACCAAACAAACAAAAAGAAGAAATCCACATTTGGAAGGCAGATTCTCACCAGCAGCCCATCCACAGGGGACCATGATTTTAGGGCACTTCTGGTGCACTTGCCTGAACCTGTCAGGGCACTCTATGCAGAAGAGATTTTCTGTGTATGTGCTTAACATGTGAGGGAGAGGCAAGGGGAGGAGGCAGTCTGTTCCAGACATCTCAGATCCATTACTGTGCCACTTCTTGTGCAGCAGGAGGCAGTCTGTTCCAGACATCTCAGATCCATTACTGTGCCACTTCTTGTGCAGCAGGTCCTGTGACAGGATGTGAACTGAGGGGGCTTGAAATTTAGAAGGTAAAGACACCAAGGTGCCATTTTGCTTTCTCAGTTTTTCAAGGAAATGTTTTCTAAATCCTTCCTACCACAACCTGAAAGGTTGATTCTGTTTTCAAAACCACGAGGGACCCCTCAGAGTTCAGCAAGTTCTGCCAGTACAGCTCTTGGTGCCCCCCTGTCTGTCACCCTTGCTTTCATATTCAGCCACATAATTATTCTACTATGGACAGTAAAATTGTTCCCATTTCTCCTGTACTTCTCTGGTTACCTTTTCTCTAAGCTGTGCAGGACCCATGTGAGGAGGCTGTGATCCTGTATCAGCTCATAGGCAGCTCTGGTGACACGGGCAGCACTTTGCAATATCTCCAGAATACGACTCTGAAACAGAAAATAGAACTTGTTCTTTTACAGCCAGGATCTAATTATCTAACACAGAATTAGCAACTTGACTGGTATCTGATCAACTTCAAGGTAAAACGCACACCATCTGTTCTCAACAACTCCAGGAAAGGAAAGACATTCTCTGTTCAAAGCTTCATACCATAGGTGCTACTCTTATAAGAAGTCTTCAGGTAGCAGGACAATTTTATCTTTCTGTCCAAGGTTTTGATACCTGAAATACTCAGGGTGGATGCTCCCAAACCTGAGAGCTCCTGGCACGTGAGTTTCCCTCCCGCTGAAGCACCACTCAGGTAACAAATGTGCTGCTTGGGGAATAGAGACCCCCAAAAAAGAAAAGACCCTGACTGTAGGAGCAAAACCACAGTACCCACATGAGGCTCCATGATGGCAGGAACCTGGTCCAGTTTCAGGGGATTAGGATGTGACTGGTTTAGACAGAAGCAATTATTTCCCTCTCCACACATACACAACATCAACAAGGAACAGATTTTCAAGAGGGCAAAGGCAGAGTCACCTGCTCCTTTCTGCTTTGTACTTGAGATCTCAAAGCTGTGCAAACATCTGTGGTTTGGGGTTTTTTTTTGTGCTTTCTTTTGAAATTCTTACCTGGGAGCCCTCATCACACAAAGGACTGTTGAAAAAGGAAAGAATGATCTGGAAAATCCTCTGGTAGTCATAAAGCTCATAGCAATGTCTGTCACGTAGCCCTTGCCCAAGAAATCTGAGGATCCACACACGCTCTGTTTTGTACTGGAAGTCACAAAGAAAAATACCACCATCAGACATTTAGACAGTTCCAAATATTACCTGCTCCTAAGAGCA